CATTTATTTTTATCGATTGAGCAGCCTGAGAAGAAGACGGTTTGCCTTGCCGGGCGGAACCGATGGTAATTTTCAAGTCCAGAAGGAACCCCCGTAGCAATAGCCACCCAGAAAAATTAAAAAAAAAAGTTTTAAAAACTACTTTCTATTTATTTTTTATTTTATTTTATTTTTCCTTTATTTTTGAGTGGGCGAGGTTTCAGCCAAGGCTGCTCTACCAACCCAATCCACTATACATTTACAAATATCCATGCCCAAACCCTGATTCGAACCAGGGACCCTTAATACCACAGTTGAGCTTTAACTGAACTGCGCCACATGGGCTAATGATTGCAGTTGTGCTGTCGAAAGACGTTTAGGGTATTATTTGCGCAAAAGTGTTTAATGAAATTGTTATTTCCTACGCCTTGAACCAAATTTTTTTTGGCAGCTATTGATCCTATAGTAAACCGGACTCCCTGCATGTACTGTATATATAGTGAAAATAAAAATATACTCTACTCTACTCTAAAACCACATTCCCTGAAGACCCATTTACGTTTCAAGTAGACCAGTGTTTTATGTGTATTTTCAGCGGTCAGTGGTAAATGGGTATTTTGACGGACGAAAATAACATTCTGTGACCTATAGTTTCATCTGTCAGTGCTGAGATCTAGAATCCCCAGACGAACCGGCATAATTAATAAACGTTCTTATTCATCATGAAAAAATGCACTAAAAATATACAGTTAACCAAATTAGCAATAATATACTGTAAACCTAAGTAAAAGTGATCATAACTAATCAAAACTAAGCTTTGCCTATAAATTAATTAGACTAATTTCTAAATCACATTATGCCTAAAAAGCTCATTCTTAATGCTTTATATCCACATAATATCCACGGAGCCCTGTACAATAATATAATCACGACATCCGACACACAGAAAGAGACACAATGATAAAAAGTCACTGGTTAAAACACCTATTAGTGAGTAAGTAGGTGGCGCTCTTCAACAATGTCCATGTTGAAATTGAGGCACGAACAATACCCAGCACACCTGTTCAGATTAAAGCTGGTAGATTCGCCAAATTGTACATGTGGACAGCACACATGTGATTTAAATCATGTTTTCTTTAGTTGCGGAAATCACGTAGTAGCAACCCACAAATTAATTACAAAGTTAATGAAACTACAATGTTCAATTACCCACATTATATCCATACTGTCTTTTAACAACAAGCACATTATACGATATATTAATACAATATCTAATAGACACTAAAATTACAATTTGATTAACTGTCGCGAGATTAATATCTATAACCTTTTGTTATATTACTTATATCCCTTTAATGCCGTCCTAAAACCGTGGGCAACCATTGTGTAGTAAAGAAAACCTGACCGCCAATTTCTCCTGTTTTTAAACAATACAAAAATTCAAATAACACATCTATCGATGCGTTGAAATATTCTCCAACGGAAAAGCTGATTTTCTCCTTTAAAATTTGGAGAATTGGATGGTGGAACGCTTTTTCTTACAATTAAATCGAACCTTTTGTATCGCCAGGTAAAAAATATTTGGTTACTCCTTGTAAGTGAAACTCCTCAGTATAGAAATGTTCAAATTACCCTTACAACTTAGAGTTTTACCAGTCAACAAAGGTACGAATTAATTGTCATTAAACCTTTTACCGGTTGCAGTCTTATTTATAATGTTAGAGCCCCATATTAACCAATTTGGTGCACAACTTTGATTAATAAAAGTGTTTTTTAAACGTAACTGTCCACTTCAAATATAGCGCAATGAAACGTTCCCCGCAATAATTTTACTCTGAAAAATACTTATGTAATTAAGATTTTTTTAATTAATTGTTTCAATCGGTTTGTTGCGTGGTATGCGCATTCTGGCATTGGGTACCTATTTTTACTTCAGTCTTATTCGATTGATTTTGTCTATCAAAATTTGTTAATTTGTATATGTTCTATGTTACGTTTAATCGAGCCCAAATTACGACCTATGTAAGAGTTTTCATGCTAAATTTTTCTGTTGGAACCTAGGGTTATGCCAGGCCTTTAAAAAAAGGTTTGTAGCATATGTCCTTGGAAATGTGGGTTGATCAAGGCCTTTGTCCTTGAAAAATTATATTAATTTCGTATAAAAGATTTGGTTAGTATCTCTGTTTAATTGAACTAACTGGAAAGTTTCATACTTAATATGTACAATTCTAAGGGGACTAATGGGTGGTAAAATTGAGGATGACCTTAACCTTCAAGATTATTCCAAGGGCAACTACAGAAATTTCAATGAGACCCTGAATTTTGAACTCGAAAATGAAAAGAACGGGAAATTATTCACCGAAAGAAATGTACAGAAAACTACAAAAATGTCGAAGCAATTACTGGAACTGAAAATCAAAAGGAAATTTGACCCAAACCTTGGAGGGTTCCGTCAAAAATTCTGAAGTTGATCTCCCTTGGAACTGTACAACTTTGGTTAGGACCGTTTATTGTTCGTTGAAGGTTGAATGATTAAATGTAGCATTGTAAATACTCCAACTAGAAACGCGCAAAAAAATTGTTGCGCATGCGCAGACCTTATTTGTAAACTAATTCTTCTGAAATTTCAGCGTAAGATGATTCTTATAAATTCAAATTGAAAAACGTGTAAAAAAATGGATTGTGCAGTGCTAAGTTTTTTATTTGTAACCAAATTTTTCACTAAAAGATGCTAGAAAAGATGCTTATTATAAATAAAAAACAAACGTACTTGTAAAAAAATAGATCGGTCACGTTCAGATCTATTTTTCGTCCTTGAACTAGTTATAAAAGCAGATTGAAAAGCTAGAAAATGGATTGTGGGCGGATTTTTCGGAAACTAAAAAATTGGGCTGGTGGGTAACTATTTATTTTCGCAAAACTGTTACCGTGAAAAGACACTTTTGTAAATCTTTTGATTACTTTTCAACTTGTTCACAAAGTAACAATTTAAGAAATTCAAAAAATGTTACTCCTGCATAACAAAAAAAAAGATCCCTAATCGTTTTCTTGTGAAATGATTTTTTGAAATTGAAGTGTTGTGTCCAAGTGGTCAAGGTGCTTGACCGCCCTACACTGGTTTTACCAAATAGCGCGTGCGAGCATTGCGGAATGGTTGGAAGTCTAGACCATCATCTTCTTTGAATGCAAAAAATTTGAAAAACAGCAGAAACAATTGGGTCATGAAAAATATAGGGTCCTTACCATGTTATCTGAATTCTTGTATATAATAACGAACACGCCTTTTCATGCTTAATAGAATTTTTAGCAGATGGAAATAACACTTTGTAAATCACTATACATAATGAAACTGGTTGAATGACCACTGGTCCAAACCATAAAAAAAGCAAAAGATTATACAGGGTGCCCATTATGTATGGAATATAGTATATATCGCTTAATATCGACTGTATACAAAATTTTCCTATATGAAAGTTCTTTATCATTTTATTTCCCATAATAAGGCGGCGTTCCATTGTTTTTATTTCAGAAATGAATAATGAAAAACAATTGATTTTTTAAAATAGCAATGCATACTTTCATTAGGCTCATTTGATAGATATTTTTATTCTCTTTTCAATAACGTAACACGTTAGCACCCGGCGTGTTGAAGAAATTAATTTTTTTTCAAGCTTTTTGTGATAGGTTATGGCACTGCCTTGAAGTTAATGGTGGACATTTTGCGATGAAAACCATTTTACATTTCGTTTTGTGTTTAAGGTTTAATAAGAAACCTTCATTTATATTATTTTGATGTAAGATATCTGGAATCAATATTATTGATCTAATTATGAAAAAATTTTAAAATGCTGTTTAATATCGGTACTAACATGTTATATCATCGAAAAGAGCAAAAAAATCTATCAAATGAGCCTAATGAAAAGGTGCACTGCCAATACAAAAAATTCAATTGTTTTTCGTTACTCCTTTTTTTTCTGAAATAACCACTGAGCTGCCTTATTATGGGAAATAAAATATTAAGCAAGTTTCATATAGAAAATGTTTATCTAAATTCGATTCCATACATAATGGGCACTACTGTCTATGCTACATCCACACCCCTTTTAGCATGACAATTCTGGTATTTTCAAATCTTTTAACGTCTCTATTGCATACAGAGACATGCCCAGACATTCTGCAAGGCATAATTAAAAAGAACCTGTCTCGCTCGAAACTACCACGTCGTATATATCCACAATGTAGGAGGGTAATAGAAGAAATTGATTCCATTTTTCCGATACTCAAAACATCCCCAATCCCGTATTATATATTACGGTGATCCCCGGCATGTTTTGTTAAATGTTCTTCACAGAGACAAATAAGTGGCGGGTTTTAAACGATTTGGTAAGCGGCGTACAGCGCACAAGTATACGGGAAAAAAGCTCGCGTCACGTATTTAAAGCGTCGCAATTTAATAACATTAAAATACATACTAAAATTTTGGCACATTCGCCTCGTAAGACTAACAATAATATTATTCTTCAAAAGTTGCTAATTAACTCGAAATCCATAAAATAATTATAGCATTCGTAATTTGCTCGATAGATTTACGTCGCTACTGTTCGGAACGCGTTCATTTTAATAATATACCCCATATATTCGTATTCATATTGCGTAAATTATTTTGAATATAGTCAACAAAGTTTGTAATGTTCACGTACAATATAGCTGACGGAATAAGGCACTCTGGCACAGCGAGACGCCAGATTGAACCCGCCCCGGCACCTGCGACACTCGTTTACTACCGAACAATTGAAATCCATTGTTTTATTATTATTTGGTATTAATACTAATAGTTTGTCTTGATCGTTGAAATATTTTACTAAGCGTCGATGTTATACCTGACCTCGGGGATAAGCGTCGGTTCCTGTCAAATTCCTACCTAAATTGTTTCACTCTCATCTGCTCCACGAAACAATTACCCCTTGAGGGTAAACAAAGTAAAGTTATATGAAGTTAATAGGGTTAAAATTTGCTTTCAGGTGCCAGAATGGTGGAAATCGGTACGTCGTTGGACCGATTCGACGGTACGAGTTTTAAATAGGCGCTGCGTTTCCAGAGTTTCGAACATGAAGGCCGCCGCAGGACCACTTCTTTTGTGTTCCCTTTTAAATGTTGTTTCTGCCACAGGTATTTTACATGTAGTCGGTAATGATATAAATTCTTGCGTAAAGTATTTAATTTTGGCATCAATTTTGTTTTGTTGTGATAAATATTTTAATCGTCAAATTCCTTTCCGTTCGGAAGTATCAAATCTTGTCCGTTTTAAGTTTAAAACCTGAATATTAGAAAAGAATTTCAATGTGCTCTGCCGAATATTAATCTATTGTGTTGTAATCTTTGTTCCCGCTTCGCTCAAATACATTTTTCTCATATATTTCTTATACAGAACAAATCCGGCGTACACAGTCGTAGTGCGAGAGTTTTCGGGAAATAAATAATTAGTATTTATTAGTAGCTAGTAAATGTTTAATTTTAACGATTTCTTAAGAGTTTTATCGTTTTATTATACAGGAGAGTATTCCTGCACAGAAACAGTGAAACCTTCTACGTCACCTCTTTGTATCTCGGGATAATCGCTGCGAGTATCTCCGCTTGTCTGATATTTACAACCAACAAGAAGTCCGCAATTAATTACAGATTAAGAAGCACCGCTCTAGAAGACATTTGCTTTAAATTTCGGTAATACGCACGGATGTATAAGATTTTAACCAAACTGTTATACAAACAGCTTAATCCAGTCCTACAATTTTATAATTACCTACGATTAAAATTTTGAGGAAAACTGCGGAGAAAAATCGATGACGAAGAGAAGGGAAAAACGCATGTGGAGAAACTGAGCTAAGGTGAAAGTTCTATACGATATTGGCATCTTCCATTACATTTACACAGGTTATAAGGAATTATTTGTTGTATAAATAGGAATTTATGGTGGAAGCTGGAATATTTGTTCCTTAATATCTGTGCATATTTTGACAGAGATTAATGATTCAAGAAATTCCATAATTACGCTGATCGAGCAGCTAACGAAATTGCAAAAATTTTCTATTTTGCTTATATTAAAAAGTTGCCGGAATGTATACCAAACACAATTACTGTGGAGATTATACTGCGGAATATAAGCCACCTTATTATTAACGTAATCTGTAGGTGTTTACTAAAAACTACCGAAACACGTAATCGTGCGATGTTGACGGTACTTTAAAACTGGTAGTTTCATATGGGATTGTTCGTGTGCTTTCGGCAGCGCACCCATTTTAATAACAATATAACCTTATTAGACATAATGTCTCAATTCCAAGGGACAATTCTGTTCTACATAAGTGGTAGAACTGCAGAACTTGATAATACGCACAGGGAAAACAAACAACCCCTATAGATTTTGAAATGCAAACACAAAAAAAGACGTTACCATAATGTAAAGAATAGAATAGTAGGACGGCCTTAAGGATAAAAACGGAAACAGTTTGGGCATCGAGATTTCGTAGTTCTGGACGCGATAATTTGAAAGGGTGGCTAATTATGCCTCTTCCATCTATTTTCATACATTACCCCATATTGGAAATTCATTCAAAAATAAATTTGAAACCAATGACTTCTCTCACAACTATTCTACACGAGGAGCAAAAAAAAATAAAAACGCCCTATTATAAACTAAGTAGGTCTAAAAATAACAGTCTAAGGGTCGACTTATAAAATATCGTTCCTGATTGTATCAAACCTTACAATTTTTTTAAATTTAAAAGAGTCGTTAAGGCGCACTTATTAAGTCATTCTTTTTATAACGTTACTGAATATTTACATACGCCTTGGAGAACTATTCAATAATTTTAATGATATTTATTTATTTCAGTGTTTGTTTACTTTAATGTTGGGTACCTGTGTAGTAGTATTCTCTTTAGTCATTTTTACCTTTACTTGTTTATATTTTATCATTGTTTTGTCTCTTTTTAACTAAAATTTTTAATTGTTTATAATCTATATTATTCTGTTTTAGCCACATGGTCTGTCTAGCTTTTATTTATTTGAAATTTTAAACTGTTTTTATTATTCTTTTTATATATATGCATTGTACTAATTTACTATATTTTCTGACGTGTCAAAACCTATTTATGGTATACGGACAAATAAAGATTGATATACTGAAAAAACTGTCGTGAGAGTTAACGGATTAGGCTGACTTTCTTAACAACAGTAATGATGCACTAAAATCAGATGTAAAAAACTCAAACCGTTACCTTTAGTCGTGAATTTTGCCAAATGGGCTCACGAGGGGCTCAGATTTAATATTTAATAAAAAGATGTCAAAGAAAAGATTTTTAACCGTTTTTGAGATGTGGAGGAACATACAATACACACCGACAGACAAACAGAGCGATCGCTATGGGCTCATTTTTGTCACCTAATGAAGTATGTGGAATATATTTTTGTCAGATTTCTTTTGCAATTGAGGGTGCTAAGTTAAGTTTAAGCTAGAACCGTCCAAATAGGTAAACTGTATTTAGACTTGAAATCAACGTGTAAACAAATATAAAAAACGAGCTGCTGGGTATGGCTATAGCATGTGCAAAACCAAATTTTGAACCTGGCGCTATACATTTGCTTTTATTCCAAGTGGATATGTATCAAATTTCATTTAAACTCCTCCATAAATAAGAAAGTTGGCACTGCGCATGCGCAAAACCAAACTTTGAAACTGACGTTAAATTTGCTTTTTTCCAAGTGGCTATGTATCAAATTTCATTTACATTCCTCCATAAATAAGAAAGTTGGCACTGCACAGGCGCAAAACCAAATTTTGAAACTGGCTTTTATTCCAAGTGCCTATGTATCAAATTTCATTTAAATACCTTCATAAATAAGAGAGTTTGCAATTCGGTTTATAAATGGTCGAGATGCGAACAGGGCATTGTGAATGCTGATCGATTAGGCTCAACTTTTGGAATTGCGTTTGATATGGCTAAAGTTATGCGCATATTGAATGTCATACAATTCGGTTCATAATGTCAAAAGGGCTTTCTTTATTTTTTGGCATAAGTACATTGTCAAATCACGAACTCCGATCTAAAAATTTGATAAAGAATCCACCTACAAAATTTCATCGTCATCGGTCCATTCGTTTACGAGATATCGTGCTAACGGACGGACGAACGTACGGACAAATGGACAGACACCGTAAAATTATCAACTCGCTAGGAGCTCGTTAATAAACTGTAAACGAGGATGGCGGAATAGCTTGCTAACTTATTACCATAATTACTATGTTATTAGTAAGAATTAATATATTCATTAATTTATAAACCAGGAGTTTCGAAATAATTCCTTTGGATCAAAAGCGTGGAGTATGATAAGCAAGAAGAAAGGTACTTGGAAAGCTTTGAAATGTGGTTGCGACGGAAAAAGGAACAAGTGGACAGAAAGAGGATGTTTTGAGAAAGGCGGGCGCGGAAATTAGTTTTTTTAAGATCAAGGCGAAGACGGATAGGAGTGTGGAATTGTGGATACGACATATTTTCTGTTTGATGAGAAGGATAATTGAAGAAAAGATCAACAGCAGAAGGGCAACAGAAAGACAAAAAACTGGACTACTCACAAATATAATGGGAAGGAAAAGTTACCACCAAATGAAGCTCAGGATAGAAGAAAGTGGAAAAATAGCTGACTTGGACAGTTGCACCTAATACATAATATACAGGGTGTAGCAACTCTGACCCCTTAAATCATAATTCCTGTACAATAAAAGATACCGTAGAAAGTCTTAGAGCAAAATTGTACACAATTACCGGCGCCATGTTTATAAAAGATTTTTGATCACCAGAGGTGTGCAGTATTGCTGTGGCGTCGTTTTTTAAATGGAACACCTAATATTTTATTGCAGATTTGGAAAGTACTTTAACGATTTCGCTGTTATAACCCTTTTTCCTCAAACTTTGACAGGTTTTCGAATTTTTTTGAGGCGGTTAAGTTTTGAATTGAGGCCTAGACTAAGACCTCTTCCACTCTCACATAATTTTTTAGGTACATTATCTGAGAAAAAAAACAAGTTGAAACGCCAATTCCGAACCCAAGTCTGCCATGAAGAAACAAAATATTTTCAATTGTCAAAATGAATTACAATTAAAAATTTTTTGAGTGTTAAACTAAAACGCCTGAACGGTAAATGTCTAAGATTCAGCGGTTATGACCGGAAACGTATTAATACCGGCTCCCAATTTCAGGGCGAGCGGTTGATTTATACCAATCTCGTCTTCGGTTCGTTCGGCATTGGTGTGAACTCAGTATTTCGTAACCGGAATCGTATAACGAACGACCCAGAATTTCGGACGAGCGGTTGACTTAATACATGTTCCTGATTTTTCTAACGGTTTCCTTTTCTGAGTATAGAACCCTAAAATGACCTCAGTGATAATTTATTTTCATTTAAAGCGTTTGTCTAACTTCCAATATCGTAAATTGCATTTTATCAACTGATAATTGGAATTATTAAATTTTCCTAATTCAAATTAATACGTGAAATTAACATGAAAAAACGTGTATCAACAACTACGAAACTAATAAGAAAATGAAAGAATAGGCTCTGAGCGCAATATAATACCTTAAGTATTACCCTTCGCGTTATGTAGGTAATTTTGGTTTCAAATCTAAACGTCTTAATTTAGCATAAGGTTTTTTTAAATTAAAAGGTCATTTTGGCCTGTTTCTTCTACTCAACATTTTATCGCCATCGTTTTTTTCCTCTTTAACACCCTTTCTTTTCTTAGCTTCGTCTCGATTAAATAAATTCCTATCATATCTTCATTAAACACCTTTGCGAAACTGGTCGATAGTAGCTTTTTTAATATACAAAATTTAATGTTACTGTTACGCATTCTTCACTTTATACAATTTTTTTTGCTTTTATTCCGTAAATTTAGCTTTTTCTTGTTTTGCAGTTGATCCTTCTATTGAATTCCGTAGTCATTTCCTTTATACCTTTTTTTGCGTTTAATTAAAATTTGTTTCCTCCTTCTGTAAAGTTATCCCATTTCCGCATTAACCCCCTCCACGTTTAAGATAGGTACCGGGTATCGGTTTAAAATAAGTAAAATGCTTCCTTTCTTACAGCTCGTTTGCTGTTTTCTACTATTACA